CCAGGCAGACTGGACGGACAATTAACCAAAGAATTTACTGATTCAATCTCAATTTATAATAACACCTTTACCTCATCAAAATTGACATGAGGTTATGATTAGGAGCCTTCCATTGGTCGGGAGCCAGGGTGTGCTTGCGTTTGTGTTCAAATAACCATTTAAACTCCTAGTGTCAATTCAGAGCCACCACTTAATGTTTTTAGGTCTCTGGGAAGATGCCAGCTATTCAAACCTGGAACCTCTTTGTTCTGAGGCAACCAAATTAGTATCTGTTCATTGGAAAAGGAATTGTGAACATTAGTTGCAGGCCGTCTTAAACTACTCTTTTAAGAACAAGGTTAGTGAGGAGAGTCTGCTTTGAAGCCAAGGTAACCGTCTTTAATCCAGGACAGCGAGATTTATCTGTGCAGATGTGTGCGTGGTCAGATTCTCCACGGGTATTACCCTGTTGGAGGTGAATTTCTGCCCTGGCTTGAGGGATATATAAGAAGGTAAAGAGGAAAAGAAGACATTGCAGAAGCAGACAGAGATGTGTTTGGTTTAAATTAAGGCAAATATGCAAGGAAGCCTTCAAAACGCCCCTGCGTAAAATTTTGATTGATGTTGTTATCACTCTGGAGCTTGGCTCCCAGATGATGGATGTCTGCAGCGAAACTGATTTGTTTGTCTCAGGGCAACCAAGAAGGCCAACAAAGCTATTATAAAAATAGCTTGCTTTTTTTCCGTTTCTTTTATTTGCACGTCTCTATGACCATCTGCTTGCCCATCTGAGTTAGATTAATCTCGGACGCAGCTTGTGTACACACACACAAACGCGCAGACACTGGCAGTCAGACTTTATACTCCCCAAAAATTGGACGGCGCGCTGACAGTGAAGGATGAGTGGCCCCTCGGACCAGATTAGAGTTGGTAAGAGTTCATCATCGTTTCTCGGAGAAATACACATGCGTGCACGCAAACACACACACACACACACACACACACATCCAGTTCAGGCTTGTTGGGGAGCATATTAAAGTATTGGGTTGCAGCTACTGCTAATTTGCAGGGGGGGTGGGGGGGAGCACATTCATGTGCACGCTTGTCTTTCACTCTCCATCATCTTTTCCTTGCCATACTTGAGTCCACTGACTCTCAGGTTTTTATTTTATCTTTTTAATCTCTTATTTCCAAAAATTGCTAATTTTTCTTCATTCTTTCCCCACCAACTTGTGATCTTTGGCTCTGTGTGTTCACCCCACAGTAACAAGTCCTAACATTTGAACCCACATTTTCAACACTATTTTAGCCTTCCAAAATGGAAATTTGCTTGAAAAGGTCCAACAAGGCTAAGTTTGAAAACGGTTCACCCGTGCAGCCAAACGATCAATTGAAACAGAAAACAAGTTGAATGTGATCATCAAACAGAAATTAGAAATAAATAACTCAAACTCTGTGACAGTTCTCTTTAGGGATCACCAAATGCTGTCATTACTAAACCTGTTCTGCATGATCACCCGAGATATCTATTCCCATCTTACTGGAGAGCCTAAACAAACCTTTCAGGTCGTAGAGGTTGTGGAATACCAAACCACCTAGCTTGACTGCCATGCACAGCACCACAGAAAAATAAAAGTTTATGGGCAACTGTTGAATTCAAATGGGTCAATAAACAGTTCCTGTGATTTATTCAGAAAGATTCAACCCCACTGGAAAATGGATAAAACTTTAATAAAAATCTAATTTGCGTACACAACCTTACATATCTTAAGACATGTAAGGTTACCCTTTTGGTACAACTGAAAAACTTTTGCAAGGCTCTGAACTTTCTTCAGGTTATGTTAATGAACTGAGATGAAAGTAGGGGAAAGCTGACATTCTTGATGGGTGCCCAGTACAACAGTGAATTGGGGTGATGTCACACCATCTGCCCTATCTCTTGCATGCCGATAGGTATACGAACCTGTTCTCACACCTAACTTGTCACAGTTTGATACTCACTCAGCTTTAGAGCATGCAGAATGTTCCCTGTCAACATTTGTCAGTGAGCAGGCAAGTTTCCTAAACCTCAACAGGTCCATAAACATTTGAAACAGATGGCGGTCAGACCACAACCAAATGTTCCCCGTGGCAGAGGTCATTATTGCAAACCAGAACATGTCGGAGTGGGAAATGTACTAATGTTACTTCTGTTCTTTTAGTTAGTTACTTTCCAAATTGAATATTAAATGGTTTCTTCCAAATGCATTTCGCACCGAGGACATTTAGTTTCTATTAAGGGTTTTGTTGCTTTCTTCTTTTTTTTGTCCTGCACCGCTTTGGATTTTTCCCAAGACCTTTAAAAGTCTTTGTTATTAAAATGGGTTTGATTTCCACCTGCTGACATCAGTCAAAATAATTTTTTCATTGAGTTATTCACAATTTTATTGCAGTCTTTACTTTTTCCTCCATCAGTCTGACAAATCCCTTTGTTTTGTAACTTTCAGCCACACAAAGTGTGACATGAAGTAATCAGTCTGTTTTTATCTCCGCCTGTTGTCCTCAACGAGGTGAGGGGCTCATTTGTAGTTGTAATTACAGCTGGAAAGTGTTTTCTAGACTGTCAGACTGGCCCCAAAGGCCACAGACCCAAACACAACACTAGTTGTGTTTCATGTTGGTCTAACCGACTTATGCTCAAGTAAAGCCGTCTAAGATTTGAACTTTGAAGGGCATCCCCTCAGAGGAGACATGCTGATTTACTGAACAACAAAGTGCCCTTCGCGAGGGTAATAGTGTAGTCGTTCACTGTAGACCACCAATGAGAGCCTCGTTAAGGGAGGATACTCGGAAAACCGACCTTTAAGCTTCAACCCACATCGGATAAGAGGTACAATTAACCTCTTGCAAGTAAATGGTTTACGGCCCTTTCTGCCTTTAAAGAATTAAGGTTTACGTCAGATTTTTGGCTGTTATTTTGTTTAATCAGGATCTCCTTTTTTTAACCAACAATATCACAACCTGAAGTTAACATTACTTAATCTGGCAGAAATAGAAGATTCCAGATAGTCTCCAAGGAAAATGTTGCCATGCGATGGCTGTTGCATCCCAATGGAAGTTAGCTTCATTTAACTGATACAGAGAAGAAAAAAGAAAGGCCAATTTCAGGCAGCACAACCTCAATCGTTTCTCAGAGTTCAAGCTTGCAAATTCTAGAGGACATATCGCCAAATATGCAAAGTCCCACAAGTTAATACAATTTCTTAGTAGTTCACATGTTCTCTTCCACAGACTGTAAAATTTATTTCAACAAGAAATTACACAAAATGACCCATCATAACATGTTGCACCGTAGCTTTGCTGAGAGCGGACAAGACCCCAAAAGCATGCCGAGCTCAGACCATCACATACGCAACAAAACTGGACCTGCAGCTTTAGGTCTGCATTTCCTAACTTTTACCAAGCTTCCATTTCTCTCCTTAACAGTTGATGTGGACCTCTTTGGCACAGATTTGTTGCAAAGAAATGGCTGTGTCCGGCGTAGTCCTCCACTACGATTTCTACATTTTGATCAAGCACTGAACAACAGCCGATAAGAAATAACAACTAAACAAAAAGCTGGAGAAAATCATTTAAAACAAAGATGTTTAACCTGGGAATAGTTGTCTATTACCTGAATTGTAAATTTAACAAGGAGAATAATTACTTACAGCTTTGAATTTGAAGATTTTTTTTAAAAAAAAGGCTTATTTTCCCTTTTCTGTGGCTGGATCAAACTGAAACCAGCTGTAGAGACAAGCGGTGCGGTTGTTTTGATCATGTGATCATGCGCATCTGCTGGCGGTAACAGCAAAGGATACAGGTGTGTTTTTGTCAGATTTCAGAGTTTTGCCTTATTAAAGCTCATTTTCCTCTCTTCGGAGGCCATAATTCATTCAATTCAATTTCTTCTGCTTTCCTTGATAAGAAGCTCACATTTAATGAGAAGATCCATCATTCCTAAAAGGGGAAAAGAGCTTCCAAAATCAAGTTGAATGCTCTTTTTTTCCTTCGACGTTTGTGTTACTCTTTCTGAAGACTTATGGCGGGAAACCATTTCTCCAATGCCAACGTCATCCCTTCACCAACCGCTCACATTTGTGTGAGGGCATAACTTTGCGTGACACTTGTGCTCACCTCCAAACACGCTGCTAGATGCCACAGAAAGCTTTCATTACTTGAAAAATGTCAATTTCGGTATGCTGGCGCTACGGCTACTTTGGCTCCCTCGCCATCCAAAAGCTTCCTTTGTGAGTGCTTAAGTTTAAACGCAACAGACATGTTGAACTTCTACATAGAAAACACGCTGTTCTGGGGTCACCTGCAGAGCTCGCAGTGGGTCCCTGCTTCTGAAAGAGTTTTTTTTTGTTGTTTTTTTTGTTGCTCAACTGCAGCCACATGCGGGGCAGAAAATCTGTTGGCAATTTTCTTCATTTAAGTGTGTGTGCGAGGTGTGTGTGGGAGTAATTTTCTACTGCCAGGACCCAGAGGAACATGAAGCTGAGACAGGCACGCTAAGTGTAGCGAGACGAGCTAAGTAGACCCGGTGTGATCCACTCTATGCATTTTGTTCTCCCTGGAGTGCATGGGATATACACAGGGGATGGGGGGGGGTTCTTATGTACTGACATAGGCACACACATAGAAGCCTGGGGTGATCGCCTCCAATTTGCAGGTTGAGTTGAGTGTGTGGCGCAGGAGAAACTGAGCTGCTGCCAAGACAAACACAACATGTTGAAACAGTGAAATGAAATGAAACATTCAGGATTTTGTGGTTTCTGAGCAAATTAATTGCAGGGTTATTATACCAACAGGGGTTCACTGCCTCACTTTAGAGCGCCGTCGGCTGTCCACATGATTACAGACACGGCTTTTGACAGAAAGGGGAACAACAAACTGATTAACACGGAATGGCGCTGTTTGGAGAAGATGAGGGGGGAGGAGCCATATTGTAACTTTGTTTGAGAAACGTTTCCTTCTGCTTGTTGTTTTTTTATGATGACATGTCTGTTTTCATTTTCTTTCAGGTGACAGAAAATATCATCTCCAAACAAACCTTCATTGGTAAGCCTCCCTCCGTCTCTTCCCCTGGCACACAGATTTGATCTATAGTACTGTTTCTGATGTTCCACAATTTCCCTTTTTCCTTCAGAAGCGAGGACAAGCCCTCGCTCATTCAACAACTCAAAGTTCAGCTCTGCGGCCCAGAGGCCTTCAGCCCACTTGACTCTCAGAGACTCCAGCTCACAAGGTCAGGCATCAGTGTGACGAGGACTGCTTCACTGGAGTGGAGTATTAAGGGGAGATTCGAAAGGAAATTAATATTCCTCACCGCTTTTGAATATAACACACATTTTGCTTGTGCTTAGCAGCAGTGCCGAAAATGTAATTTAAAAAAAAATAGACACATACATCAAATAATACATAATCCAACAGTGTTCTGTTGACCTTTGCAAGAAGAAGAGCTCTGACAAACAACAGCTGAGCAGGGAAAACTACGCTGAAAAGCATTAGTAATCCTATGTCAATGGTGAAAAACACACTCGAGCACTGAGTGAGGCACTTTAGACCTAAAAGCTAGATTAGCGGCTGATACTGCCAACACACGTGGATTCCATTAAATATGCCTTTAATGGCTCTTATCTTGGTCTTATCCCTGCAGACCTCCTTCAACACAACCTACGAATTTTAGAACACCGAGAGCAGTGTGCAGATTCTGCTTACAGTGCAAATTTCCAGAAAAAAATTCTTTAAGACACCTCAGGTTACAGCTACTGTTGAATTCGTCCTTATTAGTGCTTTGGGGTTGTTCTCGGAATTGCATCTGCGCCGCAGTTAAACAACGCTGTGTGGCTTAGCTTTTTTTGCCCAACATCTGGCATTTGGATGAGGACTGACGACTGAGGTGCTCTGTCATGTCACAGTCAGGATCTGATAGAGCCAGTATAATACAATGTTACTGACAAATAAGTTTGAAGCTAGAACAACATTTTTGGGAGTGCCGTGGTCTTCCCCCCCACTGCAAGCTATTGTTACATACTTCATTGGTCATTTAGGAAATATGTTCTTCCCTGTAGCTTCCCAGCTGTTCATTCAAGTAACTCATCCTGTGTGACGAAAGCTTCTTCCTTTCAGAAAAGATTTCATGCGCTTAAAGCCGAATCTGTGAATGTAAATGGTCGTAAAAAGGGGATTTATTCGGACTGTGTCCTAATAAGATGAGCGTGATATGAGCATACAGTGAAATAAGAATTATAAGGCTGGAATGTGTTTCTGGTGCAAGTGCTATCCAGACATTGTTTCAGTTGAAACTGGCGTGCAAGTGGAGGGGTGTTGACAATCTGGCAAAGGTTCCACTGAGCTGACAAAAGAGCAAGCTTTTAAGTGTGTGTGTGAGTGTGTAATAGAGAGAGAAAGAGAGAGAGAATTTGTATGTTTCTATGGAAGAAGGAAGAGAGGGTGAGGCTCACACATTCAGCCTGGGTTTCTCATAAGGAAGTGCCGGAGCAATAGACACTCTGAGGGCTGGTCTCTGATGATGTCGATTAAGTTGTTATCTCTCTAATGTGCAGAAAACAATAGCCGTTAGCCTAGCTGGAGTAGCAGAGGAAACAAGCATGACATAAGGCAGTTAAAGCACAAAAGGAATTTTTAAAGTTCCTGAAATCAGTTCGATAACTATGATAACACCAAGGACAGAATATGCTCTCTTCTATGTGCTACAGCTTCCATTGTTGGGATCCTGTTTTCCGCAGTGGTGGGCCGTCAGGGCCTGCAAGGCCTTCTCTGAAGGCCTAAGAAAATATCTGAATCACAGACTGATGTTAATGATATTTTGTCCATAAAAAAGGTATTAAATATCTCTAAATAGTCTGTCAGCGTCCTTTCATAGCTTTTCCCCTGGTTGCGCTGCTTCCAGACATGTATTTTCATATAAAAGCATTTAACCAATCACATTTCAGGCATCCTTTGTCGCTAGGCAGGGTCAAAGTCAAAGATGTCTGCCAGGAGGCCTTCACAATCCATTCTGCAGGCCCCCCCCCCCACAGAAAATACATGTCGAGTACACTGTTGCTTCAACCAATCAGATGTTAGGTTGGTGATGCCAGGGCCTGCGCGAAGGCCCAGGAAATGCCACCGTACCCACACCGCTGATTGGATAGTCAGATATCCAATCAGGGCAAAGCTAGCAAACAAACCGAAATATAGTTGTGTTAGTGTAATAGCTATTTTATTATTTCGTGGTGGATTTACTGTCAAGACTATTTTCAAAACGGACTTTTCAAGAAAAGTAAGTGAGTAAAATGTTGTTTTTTTCCTAAATGGTATTGCGAGTTTATGAGGACATTATTGATGTTTTTGTTTTGTTTTTTGTTTTTTTTTGGGGGGGGGGGGGGG